CCCCCCCCCCCCCCTCTTTCTCCGTCCGAATCCAGGGTAAGCCACTTGTCGATGGATGGGTGTATGGCCGGAACTATGTTTCAAATAGTATGAGTCATCGGGTGTAATCGGGGTACGGCGACGTCGGTGGCGCCCGACCAACGGTGGGCGCCCTTGTAGCAAGTCCCATCGCAGAGCAAGAGCAAACGCGGGGTGGCATGGGCTAGTTGTCTGCCTGAGTTTTGGTCTTCCCGCCAACCTCGCGAGTCTAAGAGCGTTATGATCGGTGGTGCACTGCTGTGGATTCTCATCTATGCACATGACTCCAATGCTGCCGGATTCGTGCTTGCCATTGAGGACGGCATTAGCACCATGCAGCCATACCCTAGATTTGATGTCCAGGGAGTGTCACTTGCGCCGAGATATGAGGTGTGCGGCGTAGTGGGTAACGTCTCGGCAGCACGTTGAACGCCTGAAAGCTTTTTGGGACCAATTCATGCATTCATAGTGGGGAAGCAAGAGAAGTACATTGGTCCAGGTTGAGGTCTCGTGGGTAGAATCGCGGGGTAAAGTAAACTCAACTGACTAGAAACCGGTCGGTGTGTCGAGACCATGTCTGTGAGATTGAGAATACAAGCGTAATCGTCTTGCGCACAAACCTATTGCTGTGGAGGACCCCGGGCATGCGAGCTTGTCGGTGCATGAAGGACTTGTCGAGGGATGGTGGCCACGCGCTGGTAACTTGTCGACGATGTTTGGATAGGCAGTCCCTTTCTTTCTTCGGGGGGCGACACAGTCGGTTGATGTATTCTGAGCTGTAGGCTTCAGTCTTTCCAACCTAAATTCATTTGTGTCGCAGACGGAAGCCGATCCCCCCACCGTGTCTAAAAAGCGATCTCGGCCTATGGCGCACGGCCCGTGACCTCTCGAGTATGCCTCGATCGACGATGCGCACTTTAGGACGTTTTGAGGGTCTTTCCGCGGGGAGTTCCGCGGAAACTTTCCGCAGGAAGTGGAACGTCCCGCGAAAAATCCCGAAGGTCCCCCGGAAAATCCCGCGGGAAGGATTATTTCGACTTTCCGCGGGATTTCCGACCTCCCGCCGGAAGTCGGAACTGTCCACGAAAGTTTCGCGGAATGTAGAAAGTGTGTTGTTTGATTGTAGTCAGTGTCTATCTGCATCACAGAGTGAGTTCCATGTGTGTATGAAGGCGCTCCCGCCGCATATATTCCTCCGGGTAGAAAAACACGGGCTGGCCATGATTCGAACCCTCTTCGGTACGTTGCGGAGTATGTCGCGCAATCATTTATACCCAGATAGTGAGGGGTATTATTATCAGGCCGAAAAAATACGTATTCGGTTACGAAACCGTATTTTCTTGAAATATGTGGAGGCGTTCCTCTACGTTTCCGTGAAAAGAGCGAAGCGTATTTTTTTCTGGGCTTACTCCTTCTACTGTTCGGTGAAAAATTTCCCGTTTTTTCCGGCGACCGGAGCAGACACCGGTCACGCGTGCTGTCTTCATCACACCACACCTAGACAGCACCACCAACGCCCCAAATCGCTTCCCGAGGCAACTCCACTACGATGGCTGAGCGCCGGAAGCGCCAGCATCCCAAGGGGCCCGCAGCGCAACGCCGGGAGAACCGCCGTCGAGGAGGTATCGACGAGGGCGGTGCAGTCCAGGAAAGCCCAGGAACACAGGAGAGCTCTCACAGTCTTGGGTCTTCTGCGGGCCGTAGTAGTGGCGGCGGGCGTGGTGGCAGCAGGAGAAGCTCATCGTGCCCACTGCCCTCAGGAACGGGAGCCCATCTACGAGCCCAAGCGGCTTCCGTGGGCCCAACACGAGGCGGACCTCGATAAACGGCAAGGCTGGCGGCGGTCGTACCGCATGGAGAAGGGCCAGTTTCCACAAGCTTGTCGAGCTACTCCGCCCTTGCTGGCAGTCAACGCCTTCTTCGGCGGTGAGTGCTGATGTGTAAATGCAGCCGCCCACGGCAGGTATGCGTAAGGCTTCCTGTCATGTATACGTAGAGAACAACGGGGAAGGGCAAGTCTAAAACCCAGGAGAAACACTACTGCTGTAGACTGCCTTGCTGTTTATCTTCGATATTTTTCAAGAAAGAACTCCCTCGTCGAAACATGCAGCCAGGGTGTGCATACACGCAGCAGCACTTCTTTCTACTGTACAGCAGTAGGTATAGCAGTGTCTGCATATGCATACAGCAGCAGTCGTTGTATGGGAACGACAGGAAGGTACTATGGTGACGCTGAAATAAGTTCAGCAGTATGGATAGAGCGCGCTACACACGCCGGCACCACTAAACATTATACATGCCTCGTCGGGAGCCTACACAGGTTGTCGCATCCCGCAATGATAGCATACAAGAGTCGGCACGTGCTCCTCACATGCATATGCGAGGTTTGTTGTGTGTTCCGTGAAGAACACAGAGCCGTCTCACAACCCTAGTCGGNCTACACACGCCGGCACCACTAAACATTATACATGCCTCGTCGGGAGCCTACACAGGTTGTCGCATCCCGCAATGATAGCATACAAGAGTCGGCACGTGCTCCTCACATGCATATGCGAGGTTTGTTGTGTGTTCCGTGAAGAACACAGAGCCGTCTCACAACCCTAGTCGGGAGGTGTATTGGGCCGGTACTCTGGCGAGTTTAACGATGACATGCGTCCTTTGACGCTGGCGATTGCAAACACGCCCCCTTTGACACTGGTACATATTTCCTGACAGACACACGCTCATCCTGCGAAAATTATCTGCGCATCGCTCCGAAACCCCACAGCACTGCGATCGCCAATCAACGGCGCCATAGCTGTAGAAGTCCGCGTTGCCGTGGCGTTGAGGATCCTGGCTGGCGCTAGTTACTGGGATGTTGCCCTCATGTTTGGCTTGTCGGTGCCGACCACGTACCAGATCTTGTGGTCGGTGATCGACGCCATCAACAAGACGCGTGCGGTTGGGGCATTCGACTTCCCCCTGACCGAGGAAGGCTGCATGCGAAATGCCAACAGATTCAAGGTGAGGCCTAACGGTGGTCATTACTGCTGCTGTGGGTTATTATTCGCGGCATTCTCTTGACCAGCCGCGGGATATTTTTTTTTTAATTACGTCTGGCGTTTCCAGCCGTCTTAGTGTAGGGAGGCCTACACACAGCCTTCGACGGTAACGCAGGAAAAAAAATGTCGTCCCCGGCGGATACAAGTTCGGATTGTCATCGTGGTCAGCATGCCTATAATCGAAAAACAACCCCCGGGTCCCGGGTGGTTCGCCAGCTGTTGGTCTTTGTACAAATGGCCTTTTTACAATGTTTTTTTTGTGTCATCATTAGTGTATGCTGGCCGTGTTGGTTCCGCCCCCCAACAGTGGCCCGGCAACTGCTTTTTTTAGTCAACCACGTGGCTCTGAGATACCCTGGTACGTTTTTACCACTGAACCTGACGCAATATTAGGATTAGCAAACACGGTATGTGCACCGTTGCTGGTGATGGCGCCTTCGCACACGACATCAACAACCCACACAACGTGTACAGCCGAACGCAATTTACCGAAGTTCGTCAACGTCCATGTCTCGACTAATTTTTATCCCCTTCCCGGCACTGCTACTTTCCCGCCCTCGTGTCTGCCGTCTACAAATGCAGGAGAAGAGCACCGATGGCATTTTCTCCTGGGTCGTCGCCGCCGTGGATGGTCTGTTCATCAAGGCCAAGGCTCCGTGTGCGAAGGACACCGCCAACGTCATCGCGTACTACTCCGGCAGCAAGTCCGCGTACGGCATCAACGTACAAGCGATGTGCACCGCCGACTACCGGTTCTGCGCAATGTCGGCGATCTCTCCAGGCTCCACGAACGACTGGGTGGCATGGAATCGATCTTCCCTCGCCAAGGCCGTCGCCCGCTTGCCCGCCGGATTTCACATCATTGGTGACGCCGCCTACCCCATCGGAGAAAAGCTTCTGACGCCGTACCCTGGGAGGCTCCTGCCGCCGGGTGAGGACTCGTTCAACTTCCACCTGAGCCAGGTTCGTGTCATGATCGAGCAGAGCTTCGGCATCCTGGTTGCGACTTGGGGCATCCTGTGGCGACCTCTCCATGTGCAGTACGGAGGACGCGCGGATCTCATCACGGCTCTTTTTCATCTGCACAACTTCCTGCAAGACGAGAAGGTAGCGCCGATCCAGCTTGCAGAGGAGGACTCCCGCAGCGGGCGCAACCGGCTGGCCCTCTGTGCTACGCAGCGCACCTTGCCGGCTGGCTGGCAAACGGAGCAACCGGCTCCTTCGAGGAGCGGTGAGACCCCGGCCCGAGCGGCTATCCGCACGGCCCTGGAGTTGAAGAAGCAGTGGAGGCCGGACTACAACCGCCGGAGGAATTCGTAAGCACGTATCCAGCTCGCATCGCGTCGCGTGCGCACAAGCGGGAAGTGGGGACGGGTCTACATAGGGGCGGATGGAGGCAGATGGGGGAGAAGGTCGCTACTACAAGCGGGCGAGAGGCGCGGCGGGGGTGAACGGGGGGGGGGGGGGCGCGCGGGGATGCGATTCTGGCCGTGGTGGGTACACTAAAAGGGCGGGTGGGGGTTAGGGGCTACATGAGCGGATGGCGGCAGAGGTAGGCTAGCTTCCACGGTATGACGAGACGCGTGAAAGGGAGGATAGCGGCGCGGGAGGGAGGTACCTCGATGTAAAGGGCGGAGGGCGCTGGAAGAACGTGTTGTGGGTGTTAGTGCTAGGATGTTGGCGTATTCCGGGGAGAGGTGGGGGGTGTGATGTGTGACATGTTGATTCTCGCTGACATGTTTTGTGGGTGTCGGTGTGGAGCGTTCTGACCAGATGTGTCCGGGTACACTTGGTTCGTAATGTGTGTGTTCGTGCCGGCAACACTTTACGGTTAACATGCATCGTGTGCGGATGAAAGCGGAGTCCGGTAGGTCTCGGAGGGTGCTTGCTTTACCTAGGGCATTAAAAGTGTTAGCATGTTCGACTTTTTATTTTCCTAATTAGGAGAGTGTGAATCGAAAACGTTGTTGTCGTTGATACAACTTTTAATG